AAAAAAAAAAAAAAAAAAACCTTTGAACTACGTTTGACTTGATCCCCAAAAAGGGTACGTAGGCAGCTTGGTGTTTTTCCCAAGTTCAGTCAAATTCTTAAAATAAATTTAAGTTTGCTTTTGATTATGGAGTGTCCAACAAAGAGAGAAATGTCTATGTCAAGCAAAGAAAGCAAAGCAAAGCAAAGAGAACAACAAAAGTGAAGAAAATGCATCTTATTTATTCACAAAGTAGCTAAAGCCAAAATTTGACAAGTCTTTGAAAAGGAATGCTCAAAGTCTAAAAAAAGAGGGAAAGAATACAAAATGAACAACATCACATGTTGTTCTCAAACCAAGTTCCCTTTGCAATGTCTTCAAACTCACTTTCAAGGTCTTGTCGCATCTTCTCCACTTCAGCGACTGTCTCAACAGCTATAACTTTGGAGTTTTCCAACTCTATCAATTTTGCTTGGTTGGACTGAAGTTGTTCTTCTGCTGTCTGCCTCTTGTCAAGAAGCAAATCAAGTGTGGAAGTCACATCACTATGTTGTTGCTCAACTGATTCTAGCTCCTTCTTCAAACTTTCAATCTTACTCTCTAGGGATCCCTTCTTCTTGGTGAGTTCATTGATTTCCTTTGAAAGAGAGTCATGGACAATTTGATTTGATGATATCCCTTTCTGTAAGGTAGCAAGAGATTTATCTCTTTCTTCAACATCCAAGCCAGTGGAGACCTCATCTCGTTTTGCTAAGTAAAGATTTACCTTAGATAGGTAAGCATCCATTATCTTGAGTAAAGGTCCAACATCCATGCGGAAATAGAGTTGGAGTGCTTCTGAAATTGCAGAAGATCGCTCTGCCCACCACTGTCCAAGCCCAGAAAAGCCATTCTGCAAGCCTCGTGAAAATTCCTCTTGCACATAGTTACTCATAGCTTTAAAAAGGATGGGCTTCACCAGTGCTTGAGAGCTAATTGGTTCCAAAGGCTTTGTGATGCAAGAGAATGTAGGCTTAAGTTTCAGTGGATTAGATGATGTCATGGCAGGAGGATTAAGTCCAACGATTTCCTTCACACTTGGTTGTCTATCATGAGAGTCAACTTCCCCATCTTCAGCAGTTCCTTGCTCACCAACATTTAAGGATAGAACTCCTCCATCAATTTGACTTGGAAGTGATCCAAGTATCTCAAGAGTATCTGTCTCAAGAAAATCATCTAAAGCACCAATCATCTCTTCATCTAAAGCACCAATCATCTCTTCATCTCCTGGCAGTCCTCTTAATTCTGGGGAGCTAAATATTTCTGAAAGAAAAAAAAAGTCAGTAACAAAAGAGGAAGATTTTCTTTAAAAGGTGAGGAAACGTGCTTACCTTTATACAAAGCTTGACGGGTGGTTTGCTGGGCAGCAGGCGTAGAAAGTGAATGTTGTAAAGAGTCTGGCTCTCTTTGAGGACTTCTATTGCATTTCTGCTTCTTTGAAGATGGACTAGGGTCATCAGCATTATTTCGCTTCTGTGAGGGAGACAATAGTGCTTGAAGCTGTTTCCCCTTCCCTTGAGGTCTGATTACTGTACTCTTCATTAAGGATGGGATGAAATTTCTAGCCTTGCTAGCCTTCAAGAATTGGATGCTCACTGTAGAAATTGAAGGAAAAACTTCTTCATTCCACCACTTCACATAAGCTGGGTCAACCCTAGATGCTACTCCGCCATCAACTGAGGGGATATGAAGAAATGTGTTGCTATGTACTTGGGTTAAAGATAACCAAAAACGATAAAGATCTGACACTTCACCACCATGAGGCAATTTGACATGTCTTCCTGGAAGTCTTTGTTGAAATCCATGCTGTTTAGCAAATCGGTGAGGATTATAAGACTTCTTTGTGAAGCGGCCTTCTTGGCGAAACACCACATAACCTACTCTGATGCTCACCATGAAATCCAAAGTGTCAGCCCATCGTTGTCCATCATCAACTCGAGGTCCAGGGTGGGTTGGTAAAGGCACTGGAGTCCAACAAAAGTCGTCTGAGGATAAATTACCTCGTAAAACTGCACGACAATCTGCTACCTCTGGTTCCCAAGGCTGGTATGCATTCAAAATCCCACGAAATTGCCGAACCATAGGTTGAGAAGCTTCATATCTGGCTGCAAAAGTTTTGTGGGGGAAATGCAAACCAATCCAAGCATATAAATAATGTCCAGGAAAAGGAGGAGTTTCAGTTGCATGTACCCATGAACCGTCAAGTACTTTTGTCAGTTGTCCAAGTCCACGATAGATGCATGCCAAGATAGGAGGAACCAAGCTGTAGGTAACACCGATTGCCATTTGGGCTGCAGCTTTGAAAGTTCCGACTCTAACAAATTCTTCCCCATCTGGAAAAACAAATCTACCAAGCCAAACACAAAGATAAGCAGCAATCAAAAGTTTTTCTCTATCATTTACCTCCAAAGTAACATCCAACATGCCAAGTCGATCCCATTGTTCTGGTACACCCCTTAGTTTCCTCTCATGTCCGAATGTCCATTTCAATGGGCGGTCAAGTTTAGGAACTGAAATCACATTCCCATTGCCATCATACTTCAACTCGGACATATCTAGATATCGTTTGCTCTTGAATGGATCGGCATAGGGTGGGTTACGATTATACTAGAAGTCGAGCCAATCAGCGTAAGTTACACGCTCAGAATTCTCCCTTTGGACGATCATGGCAAATGCTTTAAACAGAAGTAAGCAGTAAGATGGTAAGTCCTCTGTGAGTTCTTTGTAACTTGGAATCACCTCCTCGTAGTAGGCTCCTCGAATTGACAAGCCAGAAATATCTCGCATCTCTAGGAGAGAAATTCCAACCTCTCTTGCAGAAGTTAAAAAGGTATTTGTACTAGGAGACCATACCTCAATGAGGGCACGAAGCATACTCGTAGGATAACAATAGTCATTATTAGCCAATGACACTGCATCTGCTAAAGCTCCCATCTTGTGACGACTTAGCATCTTGGCTGTGTAGTTTGACCAATCCCAGAAGCCACTTAGGAATGGTATCTTTCCCAAATGATCAATGGATTGACACCATTTGCTCACTCCTCGACCAATCGACTGTGTTACGACTGCTTTTGGTGTTGCATGTTCAGTCACATGATTGGATGGAAGCAAAGGAGGGGAGAGATCCAGCATGGCTTGCTGTTGATGAAGCTTTTCCTTCCGAGGTCACATATTCACACAACTTGGGCATCTCTAAGGCAGGTAGATGAGAAAGTCCTTCGATGGCATAGGGACCACTGGTTGACTCAAGCACCATAAGTTGAAGCTCTTTAGCCTCTGACGAAGAAGAAGACCGTATGAGAGTTGACGGGAAGCGCAAGACTTGCCCCACCTCTTCAGGGTTGGACGAATCAGCAATCCAATCACCTTTCAACACCGTAACGGTAGAAATCATCTCGGAAGTAGGTCTTCGATTTGGAGCCATGTCTACATAAAGTCATACACAAAAGGCCAAATTATTCATGTTAAGTTCATAAATTAAAGACAAAGTGGTGCATGCAGCAAGAAGTTTGGGGCCAAGACTTATTGAGTCTAAGAAAAATGCTACTCTGTTGCCTATGAAAAGGACTTGACTGGGGCAAATCACAAATTAAGTGACTAAATCACAAAATTATAGAAAGTTGGAGGACAGCAGTAAAAAAAAAAAGAAGGGTTCAAGGATCGAATTGCAGTTTTGCCAAAAAAAAATTTGGCATCATTCTTGAAGAAAACCCGACACGAACAACTTCATATGCATGTGCAGAGTGTTACACTTGCGTTTACGTGTTGATCCATAAAAGTGCAGCGTAAAAAAAAAATAAAAATAAAAAAGAGGCCTAATGGGAGCAGGTGGAGGCTTTCTGTTTATGCCATACCGTGCATGTCTATTTCAAGTCAAAAGTGCAGCAAGACGGCAAAGATAAAGATAAAGATTTTTTTAAAAAAAAGGGCCGCCGATTGTCAAAACAAAATTATAGCAGCATGTGGACATAAAAAAAAAAAAAGAAAAAAAAAAGGAGAAACAGAAAAAAAAAAATTGACATGTTTCTTTGCAACATACGAAACAGAATTTGGTATAGGCTAAAAGGACTAGCAAAAGACAACATACCTGTCACTTGGATACACTTCAAGATGACTTTGCACAACAGATTGCTTCCAACTTCACTGTTTGAGGGGGTGCTGTCCTACATCATTGAGAAAGTGGAATTAAATATTTGTAAAGGGGCCTATGGCAAGCCTATCAGAGTCAGCAATTAGAAGAATAAAATAAGGTGCAGTGGAGGATACTCACGTTGATGCTGCAGCAATGGTGACAATGAAGAATCAAGGTGAAACTACCCCAAAATTGCTCTAAAAGGGAAAAGGTCGAACAGCCCCAAATTGGAGAATGTCGTCACTGCCGTCGCACTGTGAAGGAGGCAAAAGACTGAAGCTCTGCTCCTGAAGCTCTGAAGCTCTGTTCCTGAAACTCTGAAGCTCTGTTCCTGAAACTCTGAAGCTCTATTCCTGAAGCTCTACTCCTGGCTGAAGACGCTGTTGCTGCGTTTGCTCTCCCAAAAGACTCAATTTATAGAAGCATCAAGATAGAGTTTGGATAGAAGTTGATCTGAATTTTTCTTTAAAATTCAAAGTCCTATTTCAAATA